CCGTGGCTGCTCTCCAGCCAGACCTCTGCGTGTCCGGAGGAAGGGACAAGGTGAGGTACCCCCTGCCATGGGCATGGGCAGGGAAAGGTGTTGGCAGGTTAGACAATGAGGTTTCAACGTGAGTTTCGAACGTTGTGGGAGTGGTAACAGCTTTGTCAGTCACTGAATTGAGGTAGAAAAGATGAGCTTAGAATGAGGGCACACATGGAATCATGTTTTATAACCTCTCCAGAGCTCAGATTGCAGCCAAGGCTTGGGATCACTTGTGTTACAGCTCTCTGAAGACAGCTATGTATGCTGTTAGGAGCTCAAAACCAGAGGAACCTGTTCCCTCTCCTGTGGACTGTGCACAGGTCTGAGTATAATGTAACCAAAGACAGGCAAACCCTCCCAGCCCTGCCCTCGTGCTGATCCCCTCTCCCTGTTCCCCCCCAGAGTGTGGCTGTGTGCAGCTGGAGGTCGGGGGCTGCACTGCGGCGCTTCGTGGGGCACGAGCGGGAGGTCACCAAGGTGAGTGTGGGGAGGTCTCCTGGCAGGAACTGGGAGCCAGGAATGATGGGGCACTGGTGTGTCACCCACACAGGGCTCAGAACACATTAGGTTTTTCCCAAAGGGCCCAATTGGTAGTTTTCTGTCCAGGGAAACAGTGTGGCATGGTGTATCCAAACAGGGCTGCAGCACATGTGCTTGGCTTCCCCTCCAGCAATCCATGTAGCAAATGCTTGTGGATGGATTATGAGGTCAAGTTTTTCATTTGGAGATGCTGTTCACTTGGCTTCAGGTCTTGTTCTGCTAGGCTTGTTACTCCACAAATCAGCCATGCCTGGAACAGCAGGGCTTTAATTTTCCTTCTGGGATTGCAATGACAAAGCCAAGCACACTCTGGGGAGAGCAGACGTGCACGGGTGGGTGTGTGGTGTGGCTGGTGCACCTCTGCTGGGGATAGCCCCAGTGGGTCCTCTGGGGACAAAGGGGACATTGTTCACCCCAGTGCTCAAAGCAATTGGGCCCATTTGGGGTTTTAAGGAAGCTGCCATAAAATTGATGGTTTCTAAGGACAAGATGTGAGTACCCACCCACCATCCATCCCACTCCCTGGCTCTGAGGACATGGACAGGGTGTGAAGGTCAGGCTCTCCCCATGTCTTGGGCTGTAACAGGACAGCAGTGCTGTGCTCTCCCAGCACAGAGCTGTGCTGGGAGGAAGGATAACCAGCTTCTCCCTCTTGTCCTTGGCAGGTCACCTCTGCCCTTGACTCCAGCAGAGTCTTCAGTGCATCCCGGGACAAGACGGTGATGATGTGGGAGCTTCACGGGACCTCAGGGCCAAGCCAGCACTTCCCAGGGCATGACCTGGTTGTTACTGGGCTGGCTGTGAGCCCAGGTGAGGAACAACACAGCCCCAGTCCCCAGGGACTGACTGACAACCTTCCTTGCCTTGTTTCTGATGTGAACTGGTGGTTGCAGATGCCTCCCAGCTGTGCACAGGCTCACGAGACAACACCGTGTGCAAGTGGGACACGGAGACCGGAGAGCGTCTGGGCAGAGCCATGATCTCCAGGAATCTGGTAGGAGCTGCTGGTTCCACACATCCCATCCTGTCACCTCCCTGCCTATGTGGTGGTTTCACTCCTGAGGCTGCATAGGGTGAATTTGCTGGGAGCTTGGTGCTACAGGGAGGCACTGCAGAGGGCCCATGTGCACCTGGGGAGGCACAGCTTGAGGCTGGTTCCTCCTTTCTCCAGGTAACAGCAAATCCAGGAGCACAAATGTACCAAGGGACATACAGCAGTTTATTAGTGCTCTAAGTCAGAGTTGGAAAAGTCCTCTAGGGTCATTGAGTCTAAGACAAGTTAGACTACCAAGGCTACCACTATGTCCCCAAGTGGACCCACATGGCTTTTAAATCACTCCAGGGATGGTGACTCCACTTCTGCCCTGGGCAGTCTGTTCCAATGCTTGACAACCCTTTCCATGAAGAAATTTTCCCTAATAGCCAACCTAAGCCCTTCCAAAGCAACTTGAGGCCTTTTCCTCTTGTCCTGCCCCTTGTTCCCTAGGAGCAGAGCCTGATCCCACCTGGCTGCACCTCCTGGCAGGGAGTTGTAGAGAACAATGAAGTCCCTCCTCAGCCTGGGCTGCAGGCAGAGGTGACTCTGCTCCTTCTTCCCTCTCCACAGGTCACACACCTGTGCTGGGTTCCAGGGGAGCCCTATGTCATCCAGACCTCGGAGGATAAAACCACCAGGTAAATTCTATGTGTGGCCACAGAGCAGGGAGTTCCAGCCTGAGGCACGTGGAGGTTAGGGGAGATCTCAGTGCACAAGAGGCTGTTTGTGGTTGTTTGTCATGACCTGCTGCCAGGGTGGCTAGCAGCCTCCTTCCAGTCCTCTGGGTCTTGGAGCACTGGCTCGTGCTAGGGGAGGACAGCATGGGGACAGAGGGGCTGTAAGCAGCACTGGGTGGTGACTGTGGGTGAAAAGGAGAATTTATCATAGTTTTATTGTATATTAAGGAGTTGTAATGGAGCTTTGAGATCATCCAGCCCCAACCCCCTGCACTTCCCATCAGAACAGGTTGCTCAAGGCTTTAGCCAACCTGGCTTTGAGCACTGCCAGGGTTGAGGGGTCTTATGAAACAGAAAGCTCAGCACAAGCTGCTGTGGCTGGAGAGTGATCCAGGCTGGATACCTGCAGGGAGAGCTGTGGGAGCTGGAGGGCAGGAGGGACACTGCCCCACGAGGGACAGCAGCCAGGGCAGAGCACGAGGGCATGGCCAGGGTGTGCGGGAGGGCACCGAGGGAAGCCCATCGTGACAATGATGCCTCAGTTTCCCCACCTGCCAGGGTCTGGGACAGCCGGGAGCTGCAGGTGGCACACACATTTCCAGCCAAGCAGCACATCCAGACGTGCTGCGACGTGAGCCAGGACGGGCGGTACTGCCTCAGCGGCAGCAGCGGCTCCGCTGGCCAGGGCGGCGAGGCCACCGTGAGTGTGCTGGGCCCCAGGCCTGCTGCTCCTCTTCCTTCTCCCTCCCCACCCATGGCTGACAGCAGGGAGCAGCACAGCCGTGCTCCAAGGCTCTGCTTGCTCCCACTGCCTTGCCTGGTGCCACCAGCCAGAGCTTAGTGTCTTCGTGCCTGTCCCATGGGAAGTCTTCTCAGAGTAGTTACTCCTGATTAAAGCACTGGGATATGCCCCATCCCTGGAGGTGTTCAGGGCCAGGTTGGTTGGAGGCTAGTGGAAGTTGTCCCTGTCCGTGGCAGGGGGGCGGAGGCAGCAGGACGGTCCTTCCAGCCCAAACCAGTCTGGGATTTCATTTCAGTAAAACACTGAGGAGCTCAAGACTCTTGCAGAAAGCCTGTAAGGGAGCCCTTGCTTCAGGTGTTTCCAAACCTGGGATTCAATCCTGCACCTCACCTTGTGTGTGAGGATGAATAGGATGAGACTATTCCATCCCACCCTGGGAGAACAGGGCTGAGGACAGGAGCAGGCTGGAGATGTGGTTATCTGCCTGCACAGCCCATCAATGGGTGTGGGCACATGCTCAGTCACCAGTGGTTGAAAACTCTTTGGGGTTTGATGTTCTCCAGCCCTGTGAGCATGAGCAGGGACAAAGGCAGTAGTCACTGAGGAGCAATTTACCCAACCCCATCTTCCTTTCTTTGTAAAACAGCTCCAGTGGCAGAGCTCAGGCTCTGAGCACTGCCTGTTGCCTTGCAGCTGTGGGACCTGAGGCAGACCAGGAGCAGAGTGTGTGAGTACAAAGGGCATTACCAGACCACCACCTCCTGTGTCTTCCTGCCCTGGGGCTCAGCACTCACCCCCAGCATCGCCACGTCCTCCAACGACAGCACAGTGAAGGTCTGGGACAGAGACACTGGAGGTAGGAGATGCTCCTGCCCACCCCCTGTGCCTTCCTCTGGCATAACAAAACTGCTTCCTTTCTGTCTCCTGGTGGTGATGGGCAGGATGAGCCTGATATCTATGGAGTTTACTCCAGTCCAGCTGCAGGGCAGAGTGGAGATACACCCCAGAGCAAAGCCAGGGGCTTCTGCTTGGCCTACAGGTTCAGCAATGAAAGGACAAATGATAAAAATCAAAACAGGGAAACTCCTGAGCTTTTCACAGGTGCAAGTAGAAAGTTGTAAGGAGCAGAAGTTGTGCTGGAGGGCAGAGGGTTGGTCAGCAGCTGCCCTCACTTTGGTTGTCCTCTTGAAGAGGAATTGTAGGTGTTTCAGAGTTAAATCTGGTGGTGAGGGATGAGTCCTCCCCTGAGCTGGACACAAAGGCTGTGTACCTGCCAAGTGCTGCCATAGCAGCAGGCAGAGACCTCTTGGGAAGCTGTTCAGGTTCAGAGCCCAGTCCAGCATTAGACACTCCCTGGGGCTAAGCCCTGCTCCAAATGCACCTATTTAAGATGGGATGAAAATAGACACCAGAGGATCTCCCACAGAGAAGCTCTCACCTGTCGGTCCCTTACCTGTCCTTTCACCCTGTGCACACAGGGCTGGCAGCAGCTTTGATCCTGCCTTCCCAGCTGGCTCACTCCACAGTGGTCAGGAGTAATCCAGGTGCTCTTAGAAGGTTGTAGGTCACCACAAGAGACAGTTGCCTGTAGGTCCATGCCAAGTACAGCTCTGTTAGCAGCTCAGCATGGGGCTGGGGTCGCTGCACAAGCACTCAGGGTCTAATGCACAAAATCCCCTTGGGGGTTTAATAACAGACACAGAAGGGCTGATGTGGTGCTGGATATTGCACACATTTCTCACCAAAACTGTGAGTGTAGCACAGCTCTTAGGAAAACCTGTTCTGAACTGTAATCTGGGAGAAAAGGCATGTTGGGAATGCCCTGCAGCTCTGCCCAGTTGGGTTGGTGTCCATCCAGCCCTGCTTCCCCTCCAGAGAAGGGGCAGAGCCTAACCCCAGCCTGGATCCATGTCAGCAGGCCACTGCCCAACTGGGCAACACACAGATCCCCTGTGGAGCTCACAGGGGTGGAGAGAGTCTTTTCCAGAGGGCACTTCTGATGCCTTTGGATGTGGGAACCAGGACAGTGAGGGGAGCAGCTCACACACTTCAGGAGAGCAGAGGGACACGTGGGCAGAGCTGGGAGGGAGGAGGTTGGTGTGGTCCTGCCTCACCTCAGCAAGCCAAGTGTCCTGAGTGACTTCTCTCCCTCCACAGCCTGCCTGGCCACCCTGTTCCTCGAGGGCTCAGGCCCCCTGGCCTCCCTGGCTGCCTGTGACAGCTCCACACTGCTCTGTGCCAGCTCCAACTCTGGCATTCACGTGCTGCAGCTGAGCGGCGGCGCAGAGCTGCAGCTGGAGGAGGTGGCAGTGTTCTGACCGCTGTGACCTCCGGCAGAGACTGTCCCACGGGGGGATGTGACCCCCCAGAGCCTCTCCTGACCATGGGCACCAGGACTGTGTGCCTGAACAGCAGGGCTGGGAGTGACTGGCTGGTTTGTGGGCAGCAGGAAGGCACTAGAGCTGTCCAGGAGGAAAACCAAACCCTGGATGCAATCAGGCCAAGCTCTTGCGCCTGAGCCTCATGGATTTTCCTTACAAACCCTCCCTGCAGGGCAGTGGAATGGGATGGGGCACAGGGAGATGAGCTGTGAGGAGCCAAGGAGCAGACACTTTAGCCCCAGGCTGAGCACACACAGGTGGGATCCAGGCTTGGACCAGATGAGACTTCTGTTAGTTGCTGGTGTCTCACCCCATAGTGTTTTCCCTGGAGTCACCAAGCTGGCCACGGGTGGGGGGTGGCACCATGCTGCCTGGAATGGAGAAAGCCCAAGACACTCTGCTAGAAGAAAAGTAACTGGTGAGTGGGTTTGGGCTTTCCTTAAAACATCTTCTCCAACTGCACTGTGAGTGTTGGGAACAGAACTGTGCTCACACTGCCAAGGAACACGACAGTTGCTCTCCAGCTGACAGTGGGGACATGGATTGGTCTTCTCTTTACTCCTGGACATTTTCATGGAATCACAGAACCTCCTGAGCTGGAAGGACCTACAAGGATCACCAGTCCAACTCCTGTCCCTGCACAGGACACCCCAACACTGCACCCTGTGCCTGAGAGCATTGGCCAAACACTCCTGGAGCTCTGTCAGCCTTGGGGCTGTGCCCACTGCCCTGGGGAGCTGTTCAGTGCCCAAACACCTCTGGGGGAAGAGCCTTGTCCTGATATACAACTAACCCTCTGCTGACACAGCTCCAGCTGTTCCCTGGGCGCTGTCACCCGAGAGCAGAGCTCAGAGCTGCCCCTGCACTGCCCCTCCTGAGGAGCTGCAGACTGCTGAGGTCTCCCCTCAGTCTCCTCCAGGCTGAACAAACCCAGTGCCCTCAGCTGCCTCTTAAAACAGCAGACAGGAATCAAACTATGTGTCGTGAAATTCCTGTAATTTCTCCATTCCTTAGTCCAGGATGCACATTGAAAATGTGTTTTGATTCTCCAGAACACAACATTTGCAAAACCTCTACGTAAAGAATAACCAAGGAAAACTCCCCCCAGGGTAAGGCAGAACAGAATCCTACACTGAATGACCTTTGTATCACCTCAGGTGATACAAAGACACAGCAAAGCTGAATCAGGAGATGCCTACATGGATTAGCAACTTCCAGTCTATGGGAAGGCTCGAGGAGTAGGACATGAGGTGGTACATGGAGAAGAAAAACTTCCCTGGCCTTGGATATCTCTACTGTGAGTGGATCCAAGGGGATGCAGACCTCCATCCAGAGGCAGGGGAAGAACTGTGGCACCACGTGCCTCTCTGACAGCTCATCTGTCTGTCTCTAACTGCAAATCAAGTTTGAAGCCACAGAGTCCTACCAAAGGCTCCTGGAGAAGGGAGAAGGGCAGAACAGGCTGAACCTGAGGTGCTCTGTGGTCACCTGCAAATGTCTAACACAGGCTGGAGGACACCTGGGAGCCTAACTTGGAAGGGAGGGTAGAAGCAGATGGATCACCTCAGCTGAGCAGAAAGTGATATCTGCAGTATGAACAGTCCTAGAGGTGAGAAAACCATCCAAAAATCATCCAAGAGTTGACTCCAGTCAAGCCTCAGCCAGCACTGCTGCTTCACCAGCCCTGAACCCCAGAGCAGCCCATGGCTGCAGCTGCTGGAACATGTGTTGGAATTGCTGGTTCCTGTTTTTTTCCTTTAATATAAAAAAGTCCCAGTTGAAAACCATTAACATCCCCATCCCAGTTCACACCCAGATCCTCTGAGCTACTCAGCTGTCCACAGCTTGAAGGTTCTGTCGTAGGAGCAGGTGGCAATCAGCTGCCCATCCAGGGAGATGTCCAGGCCCATCACCTTCCCCTCATGCCCTGCCAGGGTCTTCAACGGGGACCAGCCAGGGTGGGTCCAGATCTTGGCTGTGTTGTCATAAGCTCCTGTGAGCAGGAAGTTCCCATGGTTGGCTGAGGTGGAGGAGAAGAAAGGAGAGAAGTGAGTTGCAAATAAACATGACAAATCTCAAGCACAGGCCTTGTTGAGCTGCAGGTGTGGTTTTGAGGTGCACCATCCCCATCCTCAGCTCCAGAGGGACACGGACAGGCTGGACTTACGTTCAAACTTGACTCCTGTCACCAGGTTCTGGTGGGCAGGGATGGTGTAAATGCACTTCCTCTGCCTGAGGTCCCACACCTTGCAGGTGTTGTCACCACTGCCCGTTGCCACATGGTATCTGCCCAGGGGGGAGGAAGAACATTGGTTGGGGGCTGAGATTGGTACTCAGAGTGCAAACCATGCAGACTCCCTCCTCCCTTCTTACCCATTTGGGGAGAAGTTAATCCCATAGATCTCCTTCAGGTGACCTTCCAGGAACATGATGCAGCGTCCAGTGCGCAAGTCCCACACGCGGCCAAAGGCATCCAGGCCACTGGAATCACAGAATCACTGGTTTGGGTTGGAAGGACCTTAAATCTCATCTCATCCCACTCCCTGCCAAGGGCAGGGACACCTTCCACTATCTCAGGTTGCTCCAGGCCCTGTCCAGCCTGGCCTACTAAGACAAGTGTTCTCAGGTGCAGAGGTTCAAACACCTGGAGCTGAGTCACACTAACCTGACACAAGGCAAAAACAAATCCTATATCCCATCCTGCCCTCTGACAGTATGAGACCATTTACCCAGCAGGATCTCTGGTCAGCCCCAAACCCTTGGAAACATCTCCCACCCAGCCCTGACCAAAGCCAACTGACCCCGTGCCGGCGAGGGACCCGTCGGTGTGGAAGGCAATGTCATAGACCCCTTTGCTGTGCCCCTCCTGGTGCAGGATCTCCTCCTGAGCCTCCAAGTCCCACAGGCGCCAGGAGTGATCATAGCTGCAAAAACAAAGCAGTTGTCCAACTAAATAATGGAATCATTGAGGCTGGAAAAGACCTCCAAGACCATCAGTCCTACCATTCCCCCAGCACTGCCATGTTCACCAGTAACCAGGTCCCCAAGTGCCACATCCACAAGTTTTTTGAACACCTCCAGGTTTGCTGACTTCACTCCTGCCCTGCACAGCCTGTGCCAATGCTTGATCACCCTTTCCATGAGGAAATTTTCCCTAATACCCAATCTAAACCACCCCTGGTGCAACTTGATGCCATGTCCTCTGGTCTCCATGTATCTCCAAGAAGAGTAACAGGATCTGTCACTATCTGGAGGCATTTTATTGCCACTGGAGACCAACAGTGTTTCAGAGAAGGGAATCCCAGTGCTCTGCTATTGCTGACACTGCACAGTCCAGCTGTGGTCAGTAATGGCCAAGCCCTGCCCATGCCCAATCACTGTGGGCACACACTGGTACCACTGGGCCACCAGTGGGACAGTCCATGATCATGTCTGAAAGCAAATCATAGAATCATCAAGATTGGAAGAGACCTCCAAGATCATCAAGTCCAACCAGTAACCTGCCAAATCCCAAATGTCCATACCAGGTGGTGCCCAGGAATCTCCCAGATGGATGCCACATCACTCGTGCCACTCTCATGCTGTGTCCTTCAATATCTGCCACTGGTTCATCACTGAAACACAGGAGCAAACCCCATTGGGCACTGGCCACAGGTGTCTGCTTCCAGCCAGGCCTCTGCAAAGACATTCTGAGCACAGCAAACAATCCAATTACATCAAACCAGACAGGAACATCAGAGTTATGCCTAATGACTCCAAATTCTGCCTTTGGTTCACACTCCTAAAGCTCTAGGTGAAGCCCTTTATCCACACTCATGTTGGTTATAAAGTTCTCCTTGAAATAATAATGATGATGATTATTCCTGAAAACTACCTAGGCCTTTGTCATTAGCACTTTGAATGTGCAGAAACAAAACAGAGACTACCCCAAGCACAGGTGACTCCACAGAACACACCCTGAACTGCAGCAAATCCTGCTGTTCTGAGGGATTGCAGGAGGCAGGATGGAGGGAATATTTATTCTCCCAGGACAGGCAGCAGGTCAGGAGCCCTCAGCAGACAACCTGAACAGCAGTTAAGTTTCCTTCCAACAGGTTCATTAAGAGATGTGCTCACATGAGGCTAACAACCCTCTGTGCCCTTACACAGGGCACTTCTGCTGTTGGAAATGGTGAGTTTCAGCCAAGGATAAACAATTTGGGATCTGTGAGCTTCCTGCTCTTCTTGGTGCACTGCAGGCTCCACTTCTCCCACAGGTGCTGCTGGGGCTCTAGTGCCTGCACTGCTGCTCTCTTCTTCACAGGCCTCAGCCAGATGCTGCACCTCTGCCAAAACTCCACTGTGCAGGGCCAGAGCCACTTGCTTTCAGCACAGGTTGAAGCTTTTGTGCATGGTTGTGTGTTTGGTCAGTCCCTCTCCACCCCCTGGTGCTTTCCAGTCACTCAGAAGTTCATTTCACAGAATCACAGGATATATAGAGTTGGAAGGGACCCACAAGGATCACCAGTCCAACCCCTGCACAGACACCCCAACAATGCACCCTGTGCCTGAGAGCATTGGCCAAACACTCCTGGAGCTCTGCCAGCCTTGGGGCTGTGCCCACTGCCCTGGGGAGCTGTTCAGTGCCCAAACACCTCTGGGGGAAGAACCTTTTCCTGATATCCAACCTCACCCTCCCCTGACACAGCTCCAGCTGTTCCCAGTCCTGTCACTGGTCACACAGAGCAGAGATCAGAGCTGTCCCTGCCCTGCCTGCCCCTTGTTGTATACAGAGATGAGATCTCCCCTCAGTCTCCTTTTCTCCAGCTGAACAGACCCAGTACCCTCAGCTGCTCCTCACATGACTTCCCCTCAAAGCCTTCACCATCTCCATGTCCCTCCCTTGGATCCTCTCTAATAGCTCAACATCTTTCTTATATTGTGGTGCCTAAAACTGGATGTTTAATATCCAATGGGAAAATCTTCTCCTAAGTGAAAGGTGAGAATGAAACAATCCCCAAACTTTCCAGCCATCACGCCCAGCAGTTTACCAGTGCCCAGCAGAAATTCTGACTCCTTTCAGATGATCTCCCTCACCTTGACTCCCCTAATCAGGGTGATCTCTTCCTGCT